TACATACAAAAAATTAGCCGGGCATGGTGGCACATGCCTATGGTCCCAGCTACTTGGGAGGCTGAGGCAGGAGGATCGCTTGAGCCCAGGAGTTTGAGGTTGCTGTGAGCTAGGCAGATGCCATGGCACTCTAGCCCGGGCAATAAAGTGAGACTCTGTCTCAAAAAAAAATATCAGCAGGATAGATTTCACTTTGGGGTCTCTTCTCTTGGCTTGCAGGGGTGGAGTGATTGAACTCTCTGGTGTATCATCTTAGACATACACTAGTTCTATCAGTTCAGGGCCCCACCCTTATGACCTTATTTAACCTTAATTACTTCCTTAGAGGTTCTGTCTCCAAATGCAGCCACACTGGACGTTAGAGCTTCAGCATATGATTTTGGGGACACAAACATTCATTTCACAACACTCCCTTGTAAGACCTTCACCTGCCTTTGTTCCTAACTTGATTTAGCTCTTGGCTACCTAAACAAAATTTCCCCCATTTATCCTGTTACTCTCATTCTCTACTGCTTTTTTTTCCTAGCACTCCCTAAAATTATTTTACATTAAAAAAATTGTTTATCGTCTATCCCTACCTCTTAGGTTTGTCTTAAGGATTAAATGAGTTAACCTAAATATTCATTCCACAAGTGCCTATGGAGTGCCTACAACATGCAAGGCATTGTAGCAGCTTCTAGGGTTGCAACGGTGAAAAACACACTTCCTCCTTGCCCTTATGTAGGTTACAGTATGGTAGGGATGTTTATTGAGCACTTACTATGCTCCAGGTATGAGAGTTTTATTTAGATTATTTTGTTTGATCGTCAGAAAGATCCTTTGAGGTAGGTTCTATTGTACTAATTGTATGAAAGAGACATTAATAGGCTGATGGATATGACACTTTTTCAAAGTCATTGCTAGTTCAAGGTCAAAGTAGTTAAGAGCTGGATCTTGCAGCTGGCATCGTGGCTTATGCTTTTGGCCACCATGCTAAACTGGACACTGCAGAGCACATTTGAGGAGATGCAGCAAAGTCCCATATGGCTGTGACTGTTTTCTCCATAGAAGGATTTGTGATCATCAGAATTTAAGGGAGAGGCACATAGAAAGAAAAAGGAGGAGGGGATGGGCAGAGAGGCAGGTGGTTACCTTCTTGTGAGGCTCAGGAAAGCTACATTTTACATAAGGTAAGGGGAATGTTTGAAAAGAAAAAGGGAGAAAAGGAAGAATCAGTTATGTCCATCTCCCTCCCAGGTGGAAGAATGATGGATCATGTCTCTGTTCTGCACCTGGAAAGACAAACTTATAATCAACATTATTAGTATGGAATGAACAGACTTTAGCTTTAGGAGCTAGACTTAGCCTGCAGAGCTAAAGTTACAATTTGCATCTTCTTGTTTATGGAAGGTCAGAAAGTAATTTCCTTATGTTTGAGCTTTGGGGAAGTTCTTGTAGAAGCCAGAGGCCTTTTACCTCCTCCTGGGGGATCTGGCTAATGCACATTGTTAGGAACAGCTGCTCATTTGCAAGGGCCTGTTTCATGACTCAGCCTCCAGGCCTGACCTTTCCTTTTTTTTTTTTTTTTTTTTTTAATTTCTTTTTTGACCTTTCCTTTTGCATAAGGAGTTTGCAGGGTGTGGGTATCCTGAGTTTTTTTTTTTTTTTTTTTTCCTTTCTAATACACAGAGCATATCGTATCAGGACTGAGACCTGTTTTAAGTGTCTTAGGCTCATTCTCTGCTGGATCTATATGCAAGACTCTGAACTTCCCTTAAAATAAAGGGGACATGATCAGCGAAAGGAGTCATCGTTACGGCAAGTATACAGCTAGTGTTAACAGCTCTTGACCAGGGAACTAACTGAGCGGCACACGAAGAGCCGGAGAACAATCTTTATTCCTCCGGCAGGCTCAACCCATGCAAGCCTTACAGCTCTCTTCAGATCTTCAGCCCCCCACTTCCTTGTTCTCCTCCTGCTTTTATACCCTTGGTAGGACTCCAAAAGCGTCCAATCAACTGCAAGCTTTAACATCCAATCAGCAACAAGCTTTAACATCCAATCAGCAACAGTGGGATTTAAAAATTATCCAATCAGGATCATGCGATTAGCGTGCCCGGATGACAGGAGGCTGGCAGCCAAGGACATCGGTGCGGCCCAGCAGTGTGCACCTGCCACGGCCTCCAACCAGCCCCACACAGCACCGTCCCTCAGGGATGCAGAGTGGTGGGCAAGCAGCCACGTCCCGGCGGCACCTGACATTTTCTGCATCATCATCAGAGTCAGATCGTTAGCTGGAGCTGTCTGGGCCAACAATCCCTTACTACAAATGGGAAAACAGAGGCCCAAAGATGGAGAGTGATTTGTTTAAGGACACACAGCATGTTAAAGAGGGGCAGTGATTTAAGGACACACGGCATGTTAACATACTCCTAAATGTAGTCATTGAAATACTGACTTCATAAACTCTGCAATGAGCGGGTATGCTCTAAACACATATTTGACTTTTTTCTTGACTTTTCCTTTTTTGACACTATTTTTAGCTTAAAAGTTTTCTTACCAAAATATATTTAGTCTATAATGAAACTTTGTCATTTGCCATAAATTGAAGGTGACCCATAAAATGAAATGGAATGGAAAAATGTTTCTAGTTAGAAATTGTCATTCTAAACTATGAGTTTGAGGCCTGTTCTGTCTCTGTTAAAAAGGGAGATTTGCAAGTGTTAACAAGGTGTTAAAGACTTACCAGCACCTGCCTGAGACCTTCTCCTTTGTATAGTCAGGACAGCAAGAGAAATGGAAAAGGAGGGATCTTTCTCTCCCTGCCACTCCATGTTATTTACTGTGCTTCTGGGCACATCTCCTCAAATGATGCCAGGGACTTTGTTTCAGGTGTACGGGGGGTCCCACAGGGCTTGTCCGAACCCCTTGTCCGAACCCCCCACCCAAGTCTCTGCCCCATCTGCAAAATGGGATAATAATATCTACTGCCAAGGGATGTGGGAAGCCATGAAATTAAATTAGGAAACGTGCATATTCCGTGTCTGGTGAGGGCTGCTCTTTGATGCCAAGATGGAGCCTGGGCTGTGTTCTCACCTGGCAAAGGTGGGAAGGACCAATGCTCGGTCCTTACATGGCAGGAGAGATGGAAGTTCTCTGAAGCCTGTTTTATGAGGGCACCAATCCCATCATGAGGGCAGAGCCTTCACGTTCTTTCTAATCACCTCCCAAAGGCCCCACCTCTTCATATAACACCATCGCCTTGCGCTTTAAGTTCCGACATATCAATTGTGGAGGGACATGAAATTTCAACACAGCAATGGGCTTGATGCAGAAAATGTCAGGCACCAGGACAGTGGCCACTTGCCGCCTCCCAGTCGCTCCCCATCTGCGCAGGCCAGCGCTGCACACGACTGGTTGGAGGGCAGGCTCTTGGGGCTCAGCCCTCAGTGGCTCTAGCCCAGGGCCCCACGTGCTGCAATGCCCCCAGGCCCACGTGCTTCTGGGCCCTGCACGCTGACGTCCACTGCGGCTGCGCTCAGCAGCCTCCTGTCATCCGGTCTGCTACTCGCATGATCCTAATTGGGTAATTTTTGAATCCCACTGTTGCTGATTGGATGTTAAAGCTTGTTGCTGATTGGATGTTAAAGCTTGTAGTTGATTGGACACTTTGAGTCCTACCAAGGGTTTAAAAGCAGGAGACCAAGGGAGGGGGGTTCAGAAGATGTGAAGAGAGCTGTAACACTGGCTGTGCATGAACCTGCCAGAGGAATCAAGGCTGTTCTCCGACTCTGTGTGCTGCTCGGTTCTTTCCCCGTCAAGAGCTGTAACACTAGCTGTACACATTGCTGCAACAGGCTTGTCGTGGCAGCCTCCCCGCCTGCCTGCCTGCCTGCTCCCTAGCAGGGGCCGTCGCCCACGGCATGCACCGTGGGTGCCATGACCACAGCCGTGGCTGTAGGAGCCCTGCGGAGCCACCCTGTGCAACCTGCCCCTTGTGCAGATGGGAAGATCGGGGCTGGACACGTGGCTCCTGCCTCGCCCTCAGGCACAGAGTCACAGGAGCTTGGCAGGGGTCCGAGGACATATCTGAGCAGGGAATGGGGGAGGGAAGGGAGAAAACCACACTGACACATCAAAATGAATATATGTTTAATTAAATGCCCACAGAACGTAACATTAGTCAACTAGTCAAATGCATCTCAACTCCTCACTTGTATAGTTATACATACATTTTATTTAACATGGCATATGGGTGCCTTTTAATGTGTTTGATGTGATGTGGCATAGAAATGCCACACCAGAACCTGGCACAGAAGTCTTAAAATAGCTCTGCCCACAGAAAGGATGGCTTGGCCAGAGCCCTCATTCATTCATTCAACAAGCGCTAATGAGTCTGTGAAGCTGGCAGAGCCCAGGTGAGGGGCCCCTGAACCTCCCTCTGGCCCTCACTTGTTGGTGTCCTGTCCTGTCCTTGATCTCTCCCTCCATCTGCCCCGGGGCAGGGTCCATCTTTGCATACATGCAGAAACTGAGGCCCAGAGAAGGCCAGGCAGGCCTGAAGTCATGTAGAGATTCAGCTGGTGGCAGAGCAGGGATTAGCACCCAGATGGCTGCACCAGGCCCCTCCTGCAAGCAGCAAGCCAGCATTTCCAGGGATCATCCTTGGCTCTGCAGAAACATTCACACGGCTGACCCAGGGCCTTCCCCTTCCAGTAGTCTGAAGGAAACTCATATGGATTCATGTGGCACCTATTGCATTTCTAATGAGAACATAATTATTCTAATTTTAACCGTCCCCCTCCCCTTCTTTTCTTTCTTTTTTTTTTTTTTTTTTTTTAGACAGAGTCTCGCTCTATTGCCCAGGCTAGAGTGCTGTGGTGTCAGCCTCGCTCACAGCAACCTCAAACTCCTGGGCTGAAGTGATCCTCCTGGCTCAGACTCCTGAGTAGCTGGGACTACAGGCATGTGCCACCATGCCCGGCTAATATTTTCTATGTATATTAGTTGGCCAATTAATTTCTATTTTTTAGCAGAAACGGGGTCTCGTTCTTGCTCAGGCTGGTTTCGAACTCTTGACTTCATTTCTTTAAGGGACGTTTTTGCCTCCTACGAGCATGGAGCAGCCCCTGCTCTCTTGCCTGTTGCTTGGGATGAGTCATCTGTTGGAAGGGTCTTTTCAGCATGGGTGTTGCTTATCCTGGGGCCCTTGACAGACATTCCCCCATGAAGCAAAGATCACCCACCCAGGAGCATGTGGATCAGGCAAGAGGCGGGAGGGCTCAGCCCCTGTTGACTGAGACCCTTAGAATAAAATCCTGCCACCTCCCCAGACCTGCCAGGCCCTGTCCTGTAACTGCCTCATCTCCCCCCAGTGTCCCCTCCACAACCTCGAGCTGCCAAATAAAACACAGGCTCCCACTTACATTGGAATTTCAGATAAACAATGAATGACTTTTAGTGCAACTTCTGGAACATGCTCACACTATAACATTCGTTCACTGCTGCAGAAAGAGTTTTCCCTGAGCACCAGATGGAAGGAGGGTCCCCCAATCCTCTATCCTATGACCCTGTTTTATGCTTCTCCTGGCACTTAGCGTGGCCTCTGACACAATCTTATCTATTGCCTTTTCCACGCCGCACTAGAATGCCAGCTCCGTGTGAGACGCCAAGTCCACCATGCAGAGGACAGGCGCGTGGCAGCTGTTCAACACACGCTTGTGCAATGTTGCTTAATATGTACAAGCGCCCCTGCAAGAGGGGTTTCGATGTGCCCACCCTGCAGCCGAGGAAACTGAGGCTCAGAGGTGAGTGACTCGCCTGAGGTCTCCAGCTGGCCCTTCCTGTGCTGCACTTTGCTGTGCGCATGTGAGCAGTTGTAGTCACTACACCTTAGTATGATGGGCTGGGGTGAGAGGGAGGAGGCACAGGGAGGGGTAGTTTCTGGCAGCAGATGAAACTGGGCGGCAGAGGGGTCTCCGAGAGCACAAGGCCAAGGGCAGGGGCCGGGGATTCCCCGCAGGTGGTCCATGTGCCACTGCAGAGGTGCAATGTCACTAGATGGCCTGTGGACACCACTATTCTAGGGTTAATGGTTACGGGTTTGTTTCAATGTGAATTAGAAAATAATTTTTGACAAGTCGGAAAACTTGTGATTTTTGTGGATATGATTGCTTAGGACAAAGCCAAGCTCTAAAGAAATCAATTTAAAAGAGAAGATTAAGAAGAACACAGAATGTCCATGAATGTAGTAGATGCCATAGAGATGATGATAATCTTGGTATTAATAATAACATTAGCAGCATTAACGGTAATAATAATGGCAGGTCTTCTTGATCGAGTAGGTTCTCTCCACCCACCAGGCATTCTTCTAAGTCTTTTCCATTAATTAACTCATGGAATCCTCAAATCACCCCAAATGATGGACCCGCTTGTGTTGCCTCCATTTCCTAGGTGAAGAAACAGAGGCACAGAGAGGTCAGGCAACTTGCTCGTGGTCACACAGTGCACAAGAAGCAGAGCAGGACTGGAACACAGGCTTCTGCAGATAGAGAATAGTGGCCTGGTCCAGCCCCTCCCTAAACTCACTTTAACGTCTACGACAGACCTGCTGAAGGCCCACCCTGGCCACCCAGCCTCAATACTCTCCTGACCTCAGCCTTGCCCTCCCTGCCACCACTGCCACTGGGCACACGCACAGGCCCTGGCCCTCTGTCTGCTCATCTTCGTGCGTGCTCTTCCTCTTCTGGGAACACCGCCCTGTTTCCCTCTTACTACTCCTTCAAGATCCCTGACCCTCCCCGATCCAGGATGCCTCTTCCAGGGAGTCCTCCCTGATCATCCTTTGCTCTCCACCAGAGTGGGGCCTTGTCTGAGCTTCCCCAGGACTGCCCCCACTCTGGCCGTGGTGTGCGCCTGGGCTGTCTCCATACTGGACAGTGAGCTGTGGGAGGGTAGGGATGGGTCGGAAGCCTCCGGGGTCCCAGACCCACTGAGTTGAGTGCAGCATTGCGAGAACCACCCTCCCACCAGCAGGGAGGCTCAGCTGCTATCGTCCTTCCTGTCCTCAGAACACCTTTGGTCCCTGTCCCAGGCTGGCCCTGGCCAACCACAGTTGACACCGCTGATGTGGACTAGAGCAGAGGCAGGCAGAGAAATGGGGTGGCTGCCTCCGGGAGGGGCTCGCAGGGAGTAAATCCAGGTTGGGATTTTGCTTAGACGGCTCTCAAGACCCACCCAGAGGAAAGTCCGTGTGGCAGCTGGGAGGCTGTGCTAGGGAAGTCGTCGGCAAGCCCACAGTTGTCTGCACCGGGATGTTCATTTCAGACTTGCTTATGACACCAAAACGTTGGGAACGAGCCACATGCCCAGTCCCTGGAGATGGGTGGGTCAGCGTGCTGCACGTGAGCGCCAGCCGGCCTCTGCGCTCCCTCCATCCCGCCCGCAGCTCTGAGCACTGTGCCTGCCGCCTGCAAGGAACGCTCTCCCCACCCCAACCCCTGGGGTAACCGCCACTCACTCTTCCAACGCCAGCCCTGTCATCGCCTCCCTGACCAGGTCAAATCCCCCAGTAACATGGGATTTCCAGGAACACGTCACATTGTCAGTGCTTCTGAGTATAGTGCGATTCTTGGTTTCTCTTTTTGCCTGATTGGACTATAACTGTTATATTCCCCAGTGTAAACCTAGAACCTAGCACAGGGCTTGGCACACAGGAAGCACTTAATATTTGTTGAATCAATGTATAATGAGTGAGTCATGGATATAGACCTATACTTACCAACATGGCAAGATGCTCTGATGTATTTACATGCATGAAAAGCATAGGTTACAAAATCTCTCTAGCTTACTGACATTTCTGTAAGGAAAAGTTGTGTCTGTGTGCATGTATATAGGGAAAAACTCTTGGGAGAAAGAACTGCAAATGAAAGTGGCGTTAGCAACCAGAAAAGGGGCTGCAGGTGATGTCTCTTTTCTTCTTGCTTATCTGTATTTTCTACTTCAATTAACTCAGATTACTCTGAGATTAGAAAAGTGCACAGAAGTCCCTTGGGGGTCTTGTTGAGAAGGCAGGTCTGGGGTGGGCCTAGAGCCTGCCTTCCTAATGAGCTCCTGGGAGCGGCCAGGCCACTGTGATCTGAGGGCCCCTTGTGCTGTGCATGGAGGAGCAACAGGAGAGTCAGAGGAGGAGGAGGGGGAGGAGCTGTTCCTTGCCTCCTCCCGCAGTGGCAGGGTTCAATTCTGCCAGGAAGCCAATGGGCCCACCCAGAGACACCAAAATCTGTTACCGAAAACTGGGCATTTGTCCAAGAACAAGGACAAGTCTTTGGGGATGGGGAAAGAGATTTATTACCTTTGTCAGCAAAGGGAGAAAAAAGCAGACTATTCTCTCAAAATCCAAATTTTTCCTCCATATAGGCAAAAACAGTGCTTCTAAAGGGAGGGTTCTCAGCTTCAGGCACTTCCTGTGGTTACCTATTCTAATGGTCACAGGTCTGCAAAGGCAAAGCTGTGAACCCCCCCAAAGCTGTGAACCTGGGGGGCTGGTGCCACTGGGAGTTTTAACAAAAGACTTAACCTGCTTTAGGGAGCAGGCCACCCTGTAGAGTTCCAAATAGAGTGGGGCAAGTTTTAAAAAGACAAAATCTTTTTTTTTCTTTCCAGGCCATTCCCTGTTACACAATTGTATCAATAATTACTTTAAATGTCAATGGTTAAAATATAGGAAAAAGATTGTCAGAGTGCATCAAAAAACAAAGACCTGACTTCAGGTTGTCTACCAGAAACCCATTTTAAATACAAAGACACATCAGATGAAAAGTAAATGGATGGAGAATAATACACCAGGCTAACACTAATCAAAAGAAAGCAGGGTCACAGCAGAGTTCAGAGCAAGAAAAGTCATCAGGGATTTATGACAGAGCACTCCCTAATGCTAAAGCGTGGCTGACATGAGGCGTCAGTGCAGGTTCAGCAAGTGTGACAGTGTGCCCCTCTGGTGGGGGTGTGTGCAGTGGAGGAGGCTGTGTGTTTGTGGGGTGGGCGGACACGGAACTCTGCACTTTCACACAGCTCAGTTTTGCTGTGAACCTGCAATTGCTCTGAAGAAATAAAGTCAGTTTGTTTAAAAAAGTGCACATCCCCACAAAATGATACTTTGTAGCCACCAAAGCAAAGGAATGGAAACATCAGTGGTAACATTTGCAAGGAATGGAACACTGCACAGCAATGAAATAGACCAAACTACAGTGCATGTAACAACATGGGTGAGCGGCACACAGAAAAGATACAAAAAGATACATGTTGTGTTGTTCCACTTACACAGAGGTTAGGAGCAGGCACAGCTAATCCATGAGGGTGGAAATCAGCGCGGTTATTATTTGTGGGTGTTGGGGGCTGTGGCTAGGAGAAAGCGTGGTAAGATCTTCTAAGGTGCTGAAAATGTTCAGTATTTTGATCTGGATTGTGGTTACACATGGCGCTTTCATAGGTAAAATCCATCAAGCATTTTCGTGCACTTTGCGGTGCAGCACAGAATCTGTCCCTCAGATTGTCCCTCAGCCTGGTGCCCATCTCTAGTCTACACTGAAATCATAGGGTGGACGTCAGTGCTGAGCCTTGGCGCTCATGACTTTCTCTACACATTCAGTGGTAAGAGCTTCCTTTACAAGTGAGATCAATTTTCATGACTGCCTGATAACCCATCATGCAGATGCTCAGACATGTAGAATGGTGGTGTTTGTTTTTACTCTTTTGATTCTATGCTTTGCTATTTTTTTAAAAATAAAATAAAATGTTTAAACAATCCACATGCTCCTCAAAAAGAGAATGGCTAAAGTACAAATGGCTGCATAAAATAACTGCCTAGCCTATATCGCAACAGGGAAAAATATAAAAATCTTAGGATAACATAATCAAAAAGGCAGAATGCTAAATTCTGCCCCCTACAGGCATAGCGAAGTCAGTACTTGCAAGGATAGGGAGAGGGGCAGGAAAGAAACATGGAAAAATATTAATAGAAAAATCTGATACATCCTCTAAAAATGATTTTCTTTATGGTTGTTATAGTGGTGCTTATGAAATGATGTTTTATTCTTAATTAAAAGATGGATCGAAAGGAAACCATTAGGTAACTAATAGTGCGAGTAGTGTGTGGACTTGGAATAAAACCCACGGAGGCGGCACAGCGATGACCAACGTTGCTGAATGAAGCGGAGATTCTGAAGACCCTGCTGGTTATAGCTGGTGTGACTAAGTGCCAGCTCTTCCAATAGTCAATCCACTAACCACACAGTGGCCCAGATGAAGAACTAGAGCCAGCTCACCACGGTAACTCCCCTGGCCTCCTGGGAGGCCACTGTGACGACGTCTGCAGTGCTCGTGTTGAGGAAGAAGGATCCCGAGCCTTCTCTGACCGGCAGCTCCGCCTGCAGGAGGGAGAGGCAGGGAGGGGTCGGGCTGCGTGTCGGAGGTGAGGGGCCCCCCAATGGGTCTCACCCCAGTAGGGCTGTGGCAGGGCAAGGGCCGTACCTGGATGCCAGGGTGTTTGGAGGTGGTCAGCTCTTCTGGACTCACTGTCATGTCCTCCACCAGGAGGAGCTCTTTGGAGGCCGACATGGGCACGAGAGGGTCGGGTCGTGCTCAAGGGGCAAGGCCAACACCGTCAGATCCACAAGGCCATGGCCAACTGCAGGCCAACACCACGCCTAACCAAAGGCTGCCCCTGGGGAAGAGCAAGCCTAGAAGCCCCAGGTGCTGGCCACTCATTAAGTCCAGGACACAAACCCCAATGAAACCTTGGTGCCTCTGAGCTCTGCTAAATGGCCACGTTGCCTTTCAGGCCTCCCTCACCCAAGACGGAGGGAGTTGCCACCTCCTCCACTCCAGACAGAGGCTGAGTGAGCAACAGTCCTACTCAGAGGACAGCCCCACTCCACCCTGCCAGGCCCCACTGGGTGGGCGACTCACACACACCCTGATCCCCAGGACCCCAGAGCAGATGGCCGGCTTCGGACCACGTGGCAGATCCTGTGCTGGGGGAGTGGATGGGGGCTGGGCAGATGGGAAAGCCACTTGCCAGGCTGAGCCATGTGGGAGGGTCCTGTGGAAGAGTCCTCATGGCTGGCTACCAAGAGGACAAGGACAGCCCTCATGCCTCGGCGGCACTCTGTGTGGCTCTGCTTCCTGCCACGTGTCATTCGAGGGAGACTGCCTGACCCGGCCCAGATCTGACTCACGCACAGTCGGATTAAATGAGCACCCACTGGGCACCAGGCACGTGCAAGGCACCGGGGTGCAGCAGCTGCCCTCAGGGAAGAGTGAGGGAAGGACAGCATCAAACTCTGCTGTTGCTCAGGCCGCCGCACAGTACAGGCCGAGAGTCTGTCCTGGGATTCGGGCTCTCCCAGCCTGGCCCCAGGCCCACCTTCAGACTAGCGGCTGCCCTCCTCCAGCACACCATGCCCTGTTGTCCCCAGGCCCTCACAGAGGCTGCCCTGCTGCTCCTATTCACACCCCAAGGCTCAGCGCTCCTGCCTCCAGGTGGCCTCTGCGTCCTCTCTCCCCCAGCGCCACCCTGTGGTGCCCAGGGCTGGCCATCGGGTCCCCACTTTGCTTGGTGCTCATCATACTATAAGAACACTAATCACCTGGGTGCCTGTTTCCCTGCTCAGCCTGTGGACCCATTAAGGGTAGGGGTGTCTGTCTTCTTCTGTCCCTGTGGCATGATCTCAACCATATGGGAAAGGGAAAATCATACAAGAAAAATATTCTGCAAACAAAATAAGACAAAACAAATGTGTTGCCGTGTCCTTCTGTGGTGGAAGGGACAAGCTAGCTCTCTGGGGTCTCTAGTAAAAGGGCACTAATCGCAGTTATGAAGGTTCTGCCCTCATGACCTCACATGGTTGCATGGATGTTAGCAGCCGATGTCCCCGTGGGGGGCTCTGCTCCTTCTACATCAATTCCTGCCTTCAGCCAGAAAACCACAGGGACACAGAGAGCTATGCCAAAAGCTATTCTGAGCAATTGGGTTTTCACACAGATTTGCCAGAGCAAGTGAGTAATTCCCACCAGGGAAGGACAGGGCAAGGTGGATGGGGAAGGGCAGGGCCCCTGGCTCACCTTGAGGGGCAGGTAGGCAGCGATGGTGATCCTGGCACGCAGGTGGCTGTGGCCCTGTTTGTAGCTCACCAGGAGCGTGGTGGAGCCCTGGGCCTCAGCTGTCACCTTGAGGACGCTGCACTGCGTAGACCCCGGTGGCAGCCTCTCCACACAAAGGGCCACATGGTCACCGTGAACTTGCCTTTGCTGGGAAAGGCACGACAGGCTGAGCGTCTCTCTTTCATCCTGGGCTTGATATGCAATCTGATGGTTTTAAATTAAAAAAATTTAATTTCAGAATAATTCACATGGATATACAATTTACAATATTTTTTTCCACATATTGAACATATCCTGTATCCAGTACCCAGATCAAGAAACAGACTATTGGCACCCCAGAATCTCCTCGAGACCCATCCGATGTCTAGCCCCTGGCAAAGGAAACCACTACCCTGACTTCTACCAACACAGCTTAATATTGCTTGATGCTGCAGTTTCTGTAAAGGAATCACTGAGCATAAACTCTTCTGTATTGGCTTCCTCAGCTCAATAGTGTTCAAGAGATTCCTCATTTGTTGCACCTTGTACATCCTTTACCCACATTTCTACACATTATGCCGCTGTGGGAATACAGAGCAATGGATTTACCGATGCTACTGTGCACACTTCGCCTCATTCCAGTTTGGGGCTCTGATCCACAGGGCTGCTAAGAATATCTGTGCACCTTCCTTTTTGGGGACACACTTAAGCATTTCTGTTGGGTGTGTCCCTAAAAGTGAGATTCCTAGGCCAGGGTCCAACATGGATGAGCAGTTACTGCCAAATATCTTTCTCACGAGTGGGTCTGTCAGTGAGTTGACACTGTAAAGTTGCCCTAGATGCTGGCGGTTTTTCGCCCTGGTATTTATTCTTTTTGTTAGTTTATTTCGCACTGTTATTACAAAGACAAGGAGCGCGAATCCGACTGCTCTGGGGCGTATCTTCTCATCAATGTTTTAATTAAGTTTTAAACAGTTCTATCTCTAGTCTATCTGATTTTATCGTCTTAGTCCGTATCGTATCGTATCGTTATCTATGGCGTAGGTATCCATCCTCATGCCAGTCGGCATCATCCATTGAGGCGAGTGTCGCCTGTTGGCGCGGCTTAGAGTGAGTGCGCTGGCGTCAGCTGCTCACGAGAACGCCGTATCCTGGGCTCAGCGAATCCTAGCGTGCTTCAGCTCCCAAGTAGCTGGGCTGACTAGATGCATGCGTCGCCTGATGCCTGAGCTATTTTTGTGTCATCTCATATTAGTGTGGCCATTAGATTGTTCTCGTATTGGATAGTCACGAGATGGGTTGTCGTCACTCTATCAGCTGCGTTTCGGAACTCCTGACTTGAGCCAATCTGCCCGGATCAGCCTCCGCAGAGAGCTAGCGATTACAGGCCGTGACGCACCACGCCCGCCCCTTTTTTTTTGAGACATGAGTCGCGTCGGATCTGTGCCAGGCTAGATGCGCCGTCCCGGGGCGAGTCAGCGTAGCTCACCAGCGTAACCTCAAACTCCAGCTGCAGAGCATCCTTCGTCGCGACTCAGTGTAGCTGCGGACTGTATGCCCCACCCGAGCGCCCAGCTGATTTTCTCTATAATTTTTAGTGGCCATGTATTCTCTAGTTATCAGTAGAGCGGTCTCACTTCTTGCTTCAGGCTCGTTTCAAAGCTGCCTGACCTTGAGGTGATCCTCCTGCTCAGTTCCTGGCCAGAAGTGCTGGATTACAGCGTGCAGCCACCACGCCTGCGACGAGCCTTATGTCTATTCGTGGTTGATCGGAGGCTGATGTGTCGATGATAAAGTCAGTGAGAAACCTTCGCAGCTTTGATACTGTCTCTCTTTTCGGCTACATGCCAGCGCGCGGTGCGGGGTAGTGCGGACGGCACCACGACGTTGTGCAGGCTACGCCCCACATGTAGTCTATGCCAACCGAGTTGTAAACGAACTTCAGAGCAGTAAGCTGACGCTAATCCATCCGCCGAACACCCTGTCACTTCTCGGCTGCTCATGAATTGACTATTCGCTGGGGTACCTAATGAAGTGCGTTGGAACAATATTTAAGCTTTACGTGGACCGGGCATATCCCCTCAGCACGAGTGCCTCCAAGTTCATCCACGTGGTAGCATGCATCAGAATCTTTCTTTTTCAGGTTGAATAACAGTCCTCTGTATGTATCAGCCACGTTTGGTTCATCCTTCATCACTGGTGAACACTTGGGTTGCTTCCACCTTTCGGCTATTGTGAATAACACTGCTATGAACGTGAGTGGGCTGTTTTCACATCTCTTCAATTGTGAATTGTGCTGCTATAAACATTCAAGTGTAGAAGTCTTATTCACAGAATGTCTTTTTGTCCTTTGGGTACATGCCCAGTAGTGCGATTGCTGGATCAAATGGTAGTTCTACTTTGACTTATTTGAGGTATCTCCATGGTGTCACTTTCCACAGAGACTGTACAAGTTTGCAGTCCCACCAGCAGTGTACAAGTGTTCTTATCTCTCTGTATCTATGCCAACATTTATTGTTTCGGGATTTTTTGATAAAATACATTCTCACTGGAGTTAAGTGCTATCTCACTGTGGTTTTGATTTGCATTTCCTGATGATTAGAGATGTTGAGCATTATTTCATATGTTTTGTTTTGTTTTTTTTTTTTTTTCAATGGGAGTTCTGGACAGGATCATATGTTTTTTGATCATTAGTCTTTTTTTGAAAAGTTTTTGTTCATATCCTTTCCCCTCTTTAATAAGAGGTTGCTTGATTTTTGTTGTTGCTGGTTTTCCTGAGTTCTATATAGATTCTAGTTATCAGCCCTTTATCACCTGTGTAGCATGGGAATATTTTGTTCCATTCCTTATATTGTCAGTTTGCTCTTGTGATAGTTTCCTTGGCTTTTTAATTTCATCAGGTCTCATTTATTTTTGTTGTTGCTATGATTGCCTTTGGGGTCTTCTTCATAAATTCTTTCCCTAGGCCAATGTTTATAAGAGTTTTTTCAACATTTTCTTCTGGAATTCTTATAGTTTCATTCCTTAGGTTTAAGTCTGTTATCTACTGTGAGTTGATTTTTGTGAGAGGTGAGGATACTCTTTCAGTCTTCTACATATGCATATCCAATTTTCCCAGCACCATTTATTAAGGATTCTTTTCCCCACTGTATGTTTTTGTCTGCTTTGTCAAAGATTGGATGGCTATCTCATGGTTTTATATCTCAGTTCTCAGTTCTGTTCCATTGGTCTGTCTCTGTTCCTGTGCCAGTACCATGCTGTTGTAGTTACTATAGCCTTATAGTATTGATTGCAGTCTGGTAAACTGATGCTTCCCAATTTTTTCTTTTTGCTTAAGATTGCTTTTGCTATATGGGGTCTTCTCTGGTTCCATACAAAGCATAGAATTATTTTTTCTAGATCTGTGAAAAATAATGTTGGTATTTTAGTAGGGATTGCATTGAATCTGTAGATCACTTTGGGTAGTATAGACATTTTAATAATGTTGATTCTATTGACCCATGAGCATGGTATGGTTTTCCACCTGTTTACATCTTCTGCTATTTCCTTTCTCAGTTTTCCTAGTTCTACCTGTAGAGGTCTTTTATCTTGTTATTTAAATATATTCCTAGGTATATTATTTTCTTTGTTGCTGTTGTAAAGCATTTTGAGTCTGTGGTTTGGTTCTCAGTTTGACTGTTGTTGGTGCATAGGTATGCTACTGATTCCTATACATTGATTTTGAACCTGAGACTTTGCTAAGTTTATTTATCAATTCCAGTAGTCTTATGGCAGAATCTTTGGGGTATTCTAGATATACAATCATATCATCAACACAGTGGTAGTTTGACTTCTTCTGCCCCCATTTGAATGCCCTTGATTTCCTTGTCTTGGCTGATTGCTCTGCCTAGGACTTCCAGCACTATGTCAAAGAGAAGTGGTGATAGATGGCAACTTTGTCTGGTTCCAGTTATAAGCGGGAATGCTTTCAATTTTTCCCTGCTCAGCATGATGTTGCCTATAGGTTTGTTATGCATGGGCTTTATCATTTTTAGGTAGGTTCCGTCTATGCTGATTTTGTTAAGTGTTCTCATAAAAAAATGGTGCTGAATTTTGTGGAATGCTTTCTCTGCATCTACTGAGAGGATCGTATGGTCTTTGTTTTTACTTCTATTCCTGTGGTGACTTACATTTCTATACTTACGTATGTTGAACCATATCTGCATCTGTGGGATGAAGCCCACTTGGTTGTGATGGATTATTTTTTTGATGAGCTGAACTTGATTTCCTGGGATTTTATTGTGAATTTTGACATCTATATTCATAACACATATTGATCTGTAGTTTTCTTATTTTGTTGAGTACTTTCCAGGCTTTGGTATCAGGGTGATGTTGCCTTCAGAAAACATGTTGGGGAGGATTCCTTCTTCCTTGATGTTGTGGAATATTTCTGCAGGATAGGCACCAGTTCTTCTCTGTAGGTCTGGTACAATTGGGGTGTGAAACCATCTGGTCGGGGAATTTTCTTTTTAGTAAGGTTTATGATTGCTGTTTCCATTTTGATACTTGGTATCGGTGTGTTCAGGAATTCTATTTCTTCCTGATTGAACCTAGGGAGGCTGTGTGTTTCAAAGAGTTTGTCCATTTCCTCCACATTTTCAAATTTATGTGCATAGAGATTTTTATAGTATTCATAGATGATATTATGTATTTCCATGACAATAGTAAAAATCTATCTTTTCTCATTTCTGATTGAGCTTTATAGAATCCTTTCTTTTCTGCTTCTCATTAATCTAGCAAGAGGCTGTCAATTTTGTTTATCTTTTCAAAGAAACAATCCTTGGTTTTATTAATCTTCCACAAAGTTTTTTTTTTGTTTGTTTGTTTTTTGTTGTTGTAGATTTCATTTAGTTCTTCTTTGATCTCTGTTATTTCTTTTCTTCTGCTCGGTTTGGGGCTGCTTTGCTCATCCTCTTCCAGTTCTTTGAATGATTCCTTACATTATTGCTTTGTGATCTTTCTATCTTGTGGATGTAAGCATTTATGGATGTTTTTCCTCTCAGGACTGCTTTGTTTATGTCCCACAGATTTTGATATCATATGTCTTCTTTATCATTTAGTTAAGTCTTTTGATTTCCATCTTAATTTCCTCCTTAACTGAAGAATTTTTCAGCAGGAGGTTGTTTAGTTTCCTTGACTTTGTGTAGAGATAAGAGTTCATGTTGGAGTTGATTTCTAAATTTATTCCATTGTTGGTCTGAGAAGATGCATAGTATAATTTCTATTTTTAAAAATTTGTTGAGACACGCTTTCTGGCCTAGGATATGGTCAATCTTAGAGAATGTCGCATGAGCTGAAGAGAAAAAAGTATATTAAGTGGTTATTGGGTGGAATGTTCTGTAACGGTCAGTAAGGCCCATTTGTTCTAGAGTTCTGTTTAAGTCCATTGTTTATTTTCTGTTTGGAGGATCTGTCCTGTTCTGCCATAGGTATGTTGAAGCACCCAACTACTACAGTGCTGCTGTTATCATTTTGTTTAGATCAAGTAGGATGTGGTTTATGAATCTGGGTGCAATTGACCTAGGTGTATAATATTTAGAATTATTATGCCTTCTTTTTGAATTGTACCCTTCACTGTTATATAGTGACCATCTTTGTCTTTCGTTATTTTAGTTGAAGACTAAGTTATCTGAAATTGGAACTGCTAAGCTGGCTTTCTTTGGCTTCCATTTACATGGAATATATTTTCCCATCCCTTTACCTCAAGTCTGAATGCATCCTTGTGGGTTAGATGTGTTTTTGAAGACAGCAGATACGTGGGTTGCGTATATTCATTAGTCCGGCCTAGGTCTTTTTAATGGACACTTGAAGCCATTCACATTTATTGAAGGAATTGACGAGTGTGGCAGATTTCTGTTCATCCTGTTCAGTCGAACTTTGTAACTTTGCATTCTCTCTTGAGCCATTGTGCTACCTGGCCTTTAAGCTTTACCTTTTGGACGATCTTGCGATGGTGAGTGTTTACTGTGCTGATCTGTGTTTAACGCTGTTCTGAATACTTCCTGGAAGGCAAGTCTTGACTTGATGAATTCCCTCCGCCTTTGATTCACTTAGAAGGTCTTTATTTCTCCTTTATATAAGAAGAGCTGCTTCAGTCTTGATACTGCTCCATCCTCTGCAGTTCCTAGGACATCCCTCTCAGTGCCCTCAGATAGTTTGGGATTTGGTGACTCACTGGGTATCTGGAAACTTTTGGAATGGTCATAGGCACAACGTGAAGAGTTGTAGTTTGTCAGCTTGGGTTGGTTTCCTTAGTCCAGGAAAAAAACCCGGCACCTGGGTCCACCACTCGGGAGGCTGGCATGGAGTGATGCTGCCTAAGCACTGATCCCAGCGGGGGGACTGCCCCCATCAGTCTTCAACCAGACCCAGGGGCACATGGCTATGGAGAAGACTTCAAGGTCTCAATCTGAGTCATAGTTGGGGATGCCCATTCTCTGGCCCAGATCACTAGGTTTTAGTCTGATTTTCGGGGACGCCAGATGTCTGATCAGACATTCAACGGTCATCTGGATTGGGGTTGCCCTCTCAGACTTCTGGCAACATATGACCATCCCTAAAAATGTCTATCATGGCAATGTCCCTTTGGAACTTTGGGACTCATCAACCCCCATCTCAAATGTTCAGTAAATTAAACGACCAGGAGATTTGGCCCGAGAATGAATCTCTGCTTGATGCTACCTGAACTTCCATCAGCACTGGCAGCAAAGATTCCAACGTCCTCTACTTTCAAACTTGCTTTAAACTTGTTAGACTTCCTGGTCTTCACTCTGCCTGCCTCATCGAAGCCCTTCAACTTTTTTCCTGCTCAGCATGATTGTTGCCTATAGTTTGTTAAGGGGGGGGGGGGGGGGGGGGGGGGTATGTGGCTTTTCAAGTTTTAGGTAGGTTCCGTCTATCATTATTTTTAAGCGTCCTAAAAAATGGCTGATTGTGGAATATTCTCTGCATCTACTGAAGGACATATGTCTTTGTTTTCTTCATTCTGTGGAACTACATTCATACTTGCATGTAACCATACTGCATCTTGGATTAAGCCCACTTGGTTTTTGATGGATATTTTTTTCAGCTGAACTGTATTTCTGGATTTATTGAATTTGACATCTATCATAACACATTATCTAGTTCTTATTTGTGAGTATTTTTTTGAGACAGAGTCTCACTCTGTGCCCAGGCTAGAGCGCCGTGGCATCAGCCTAGCTCACAGCAATCTCAAACTCCAGGGCTCAAGCAATCCTTCTGCCTCAGACTCCAGTGTAGCTGGGACTATGTGCCACCATGCCCAGCTAATTTTTTCTATATATTTTTAGTTGGCCAATTAATTTCTATTTATAGTAGAGACGAGGTCTCGGGGTCTCACTTTTGCTCAGGCTGGTTTCAAACTCCTGACCTTGAGTGATCCTCCTGCCTCAGCCTCCCAGAGTGCTAGGATTACAGGCGTGAGCCACCACGCCTGGCCAACCTTATTTATTTTGATTATGATAAAATACACATAACAGAAAACCTCCCAGCTTTGTACTTTTACATGCACAGCGCAGTGGCGTGAAGGGCACTCACACCGTTGTGCAAGTACCCCCACCACTTATCTATGCAACCGATTTCGTAAACGGAAACTCTACCCAAGAAGCAGTAACTACCTAATTCCCATACCCCCGGCAACCACCCTTCTACTTCCCGTCTCCATGAATTTGACTATTCTGGGTACCTCATATAAGGAATTAGACAATATTTACCTTTAGTGACCGGCATATTCACTCAGCACAATGTCCTCCAAGTTCATCCACGTGGTAGCATGCATCAGAATCTTTCTTTTTCAGGTTGAATAACAGTCCTCTGTATGTATCAGCCACGTTTGGTTCATCCTTCATCACTGGTGAACACTTGGGTTGCTTCCACCTTTAGGCTATTGTGAATAACACTGCTATGAATGTGAGTGGGCTGTTTTCACATCTCTTCAATTGTGAATTGTGCTGCTATAAACATTCAAGTGTAGAAGTCTTTTTCACAGAATGTCTTTTTGTCCTTTGGGTACATGCCCAGTAGTGCGATTGCTGGATCAAATGGTAGTTCTACTTTGACTTCTTTGAGGTATCTCCATGGTGTCACTTTCCACAGAGACTGTACAAGTTTGCAGTCCCACCAGCAGTGTACAAGTGTTCTTATCTCTCTGTATCTATGCCAACATTTATTGTTTCGGGATTTTTTGATAAAATACATTCTCACTGGAGTTAAGTGCTATCTCACTGTGGTTTTGATTTGCATTTCCTGATGATTAGAGATGTTGAGCATTATTTCATATGTTTTGTTTTGTTTTTTTTTTTTTTTCAATGGGAGTTCTGGACAGGATCATATGTTTTTTGATCATTAGTCTTTTTTTGAAAAGTTTTTGTTCATATCCTTTCCCCTCTTTAATAAGAGGTTGCTTGATTTTTGTTGTTGTTGCTGGTTTTCCTGAGTTCTATATAGATTCTAGTTATCAGCCCTTTATCACCTGTGTAGCATGGGAATATTTTGTTCCATTCCTTATATTGTCAGTTTGCTCTTGTGATAGTTTCCTTGGCTTTTTAATTTCATCAGGTCTCATTTATTTTTGTTGTTGCTATGATTGCCTTTGGGGTCTTCTTCATAAATTCTTTCCCTAGGCCAATGTTTATAAGAGTTTTTTCAACATTTTCTTCTGGAATTCTTATAGTTTCATTCCTTAGGTTTAAGTCTGTTATCTACTGTGAGTTGATTTTTGTGAGAGGTGAGGATACTCTTTCAGTCTTCTACATATGCATATCCAATTTTCCCAGCACCATTTATTAAGGATTCTTTTCCCCACTGTATGTTTTTGTCTGCTTTGTCAAAGATTGGATGGCTATCTCATGGTTTTATATCTCAGTTCTCAGTTCTGTTCCATTGGTCTGTCTCTGTTCCTGTGCCAGTACCATGCTGTTGTAGTTACTATAGCCTTATAGTATTGATTGCAGTCTGGTAAACTGATGCTTCCCAATTTTTTCTTTTTGCTTAAGATTGCTTTTGCTATATGGGGTCTTCTCTGGTTCCATACAAAGCATAGAATTATTTTTTCTAGATCTGTGAAAAATAATGTTGGTATTTTAGTAGGGATTGCATTGAATCTGTAGATCACTTTGGGTAGTATAGACACTTTAACAATGTTGATTCTACTGACCCATGAGCATGGTATGGTTTTCCACCTGTTTACATCCTCTGCTATTTCCTTTCTCAGTTTTCCTAGTTCTACCTGTAGAGGTCTTTTATCTTGTTATTTAAATATATTCCAAGGTATATTATTTTCTTTGTTGCTGTTGTAAAGCATTTTGAGTCTGTGGTTTGGTTCTCAGTTTGACTGTTGTTGGTGCATAGGTATGCTACTGATTCCTATACATTGATTTTGAACCTGAGACTTTGCTAAGTTTATTTATCAATTCCAGTAGTCTTATGGCAGAATCTTTGGGGTATTCTAGATATACAATCATATCATCAACAGAGTGGTAGTTTGATCTCTTCTGTCCCCATTTGAATGCCCTTGATTTCCTTGTCTTGGCTGATTGCTCCGCCTAGGACTTCCAGCACTATGTCAAAGAGAAGTGGTGATAGATGGCAACTTTGTCTGGTTCCAGTTATAAGCGGGAATGCTTTCAATTTTTCCCTGCTCAGCATGATGTTGCCTATAGGTTTGTTATGCATGGGCTTTATCATTTTTAGGTAGATTCCGTCTATGCTGATTTTGTTAAGTGTTCTCATCAAAAAAGGGTGCTGAATTTTGTGGAATGCTTTCTCTGCATCTACTGAGAGGATCGTATGGTCTTTGTTTTTACTTCTATTCCTGTGGTGACTTACATTTCTATACTTGCGTATGTTGAACCATATCTGCATCTGTGGGATGAAGCCCACTTGGTTGTGATGGATTATTTTTTTGATGAGCTGAACTTGATTTCCTGGGATTTTATTGTGAATTTTGACATCTATATTCATAACACATATTGATCTGTAGTTTTCTTATTTTGTTGAGTCCTTTCCAGGCTTTGGTATCAGGGTGATGTTGCCTTCAGAAAACATGTTGGGGAGGATTCTTTCTTCCTTGATGTTGTGAAATAAATTTCTGCAGGATAGGCACCAGTTCTTCTCTGTAGGTCTGGTACAATTGGGGTGTGAAAACATCTGGTCGGGGAATTTTCTTTTTGGTAAGGTTTATGATTGCTGTTTCCATTTTGATACTTGTGTTCAGGAATTCTATTTCTTCCTGATTGAACATAGGGAGGCTGTGTGTTTCAAAGAGTTTGTCCATTTCCTCCACATTTTCAAATTTATGTGCATAGAGATTTTTATAGTATTCATAGATGATATTATGTATTTCCATGACAATAGTTATAATTTATCTTTTCTCATTTCTGAATGAGCTTTATAGAATCCTTCTTTTCTGCTTCTCATTAATCTAGCAAGAGGCTGTCAATTTTGTTTATCTTTTCAAAGAAACGATCCTTGGTTTTATTAATCTTCCACAAAGTTTTTTTTTTTTTTTGTAGATTTCATTTAGTTCTTCTCTGATCTCTGTTATTTCTTTTCTTCTGCTAGGTTTGGGGCTGCTTTGCTCATCCTCTTCCAGTTATTTGAGATGATTCCTTATATTATTGCTTTGTGATCTTTCTATCTTGTGGATGTAAGCATTTATAGATGTTTTTCCTCTCAGGACTGCTTTAGTTATGTCCCACAGATTTTGATATCATATGTCTTCTTTATCATTTAGTTAAGTCTTTTGATTTCCATCTTAATTTCCTCCTTAACTGAAGAATTTTTCAGCAGAAAGTTGTTTAGGTTCCTTGACTTTGTGTAGAGATGAGAGTTCATGTTGGAGTTGATTTCTAAATTTATCCATTGTTGGTCTGAAAGATGCATGGTATAATTTCTATTTTTTAAAATTTGTTGAGACATGCTTTCTGGCCCAGGATATGGTCAATCATAGAGAATGTCCCATGAGCTGATAAGAAAAACATATATTCAGTGGTTCTTGGGTGGAATGTTCTGTAACGGTCAGTCAGGCCCATTTGTTCTAGAGTTCTGTTTAAGTCCATTGTTTATTTTCTGTTTGGAGAATCTGCCATAGGTATGTTGAAGCACCCAGCTACTACAGTGCTGCTGTTATCATTTTGTTTAGATCAAGTAGAATGTGGTTTATGAATCTGGGTGCAATTGACTTAGGTGTATAATATTTAGAATTATTATGCCTTCTTTTTGAATTGTACCCTTCACTGTTATATAGTGACCATCTTTGTCTTTCATTATTTTTGTTGAAGACTAAGTTATCTGAAATCAGAACTGCTAAGCTGGCTTTCTTTTGCCTTCTATTTACATGGAATATTTTTTTCCTACCTCAAGTCTGAATGCATCCTTGTGGGTTAGATGTGTTTCCTGAAGACAGCAGATACATTGCTTGTGTATATTCATCAGGCCGCCCTATGTCTTTTTAATGGACACTTGAAGCCATTCACATTTATTGAAGGAATTGACGAGTGTGGCAGATTTCTGTTCATCCTGTTCAGTTGAACTTTGTAACTTTGCATTCTCTCTTGAGCCATTGTGCTACCTGGACTTTAATCTTTACCTTTTGGACGATCTTGCGATGGTGAGTGTTTACTGTGCTGATCTGTGTTTAACGCTGTTCTGAATACTTCCTGGAAGGCAAGTCTTGACTTGATGAATTCTCTCCGCCTTTGATTTACTTAGAAGGTCTTTATTTCTCCTTTATATAAGAAGAGCTGCTTCAGTCTTGATACTGCTCCATCCTCTGCAGTTCCTAGGACATCCCTCTCAGTGCCCTCAAATAGTTTGGGATTTGGTGACTCACTGGGTATCTGGAAACTTTTGGAATGGTCATAGGCACAACGTGAAGAGTTGTAGTTTGTCAGCTTGGGTTGGTTTCCTTAGTCCAGGAAAAAAACCCGGCACCTGGGTCCACCACTCGGGAGGCTGGCATGGAGTGATGCTGCCTAAGCACTGATCCCAGCGGGGGGACTGCCCCCATCAGTCTTCAACCAGACCCAGGGGCACATGGCTATGGAGAAGACTTCAAGGTCTCAATCTGAGTCATAGTTGGGGATGCCCATTCTCTGGCCCAGATCACTAGGTTTTAGTCTGATTTTCGGGGACGCCAGATGTCTGATCAGACATTCAACGGTCATCTGGATTGGGGTTGCCCTCTCAGACTTCTGGCAACATATGACCATCCCTAAAAATGTCTATCATGGCAATGTCCCTTTGGAACTTTGGGACTCATCAACCCCCATCTCAAATGTTCAGTAAATTAAACGACCAGGAGATTTGGCCCGAGAATGAATCTCTGCTTGATGCTACCTGAACTTCCATCAGCACTGGCAGCAAAGATTCCAACGTCCTCTACTTTCAAACTTGCTTTAAACTTGTTAGACTTCCTGGTCTTCACTCTGCCTGCCTCATGTCACTTCTGACCCCCACATCGCTCTCACTGCCTCATGTCTAGACAATGTTTCTCTTTTGGATCCCTTGTTCCTCCAGTTTCCTCTCGGTCTCCATTTCCCTCACCTCGGTCTCCATTTCCCTCATTCCAAAGATCCCTGCCCACCAACGTTCTGGGAGGCTGCAGGGTCAGAAGGCATTGCAGTCAGGTACCCACATGCATGAAGCCAGGATGAAATGCCAGCCCTTCCTGTCTGAAGTCATTCTCCTCTTTAGTAATCTACATCCTGACACTAAGGAGGCGCAAGGCCTCTTTGCAATGGACTTCATCTCCCAGTGAGCCCCACTGCTTGGCATAAACTTCAAACCTTGAGATGGGGCCTCAGACTTCACAGGTAGAACTTGAAACCTGGCCCTCAAGGTCTTTGATAACCTGGATGGGGAGAGGTGAGAGGAAACAGAGTGGGACTGACAGCCCCAAAAGCAGAAAATGCTTTTCAAATCATGGCTGCCGTCGTGAAATGGTTTCCACCAGAGCCAGAGTGACTGAAAAAGGTCCCAGGCAAGAAGAGGACAAGACATAGCCTTTTA